AATAAACCACATATGGCAGGTTGTAAAGCTAGCATATGGTATTACAGACGGTATCTTCTCACTATCAGACCTTGACAAGTGGGTACAAGTATCAACTGAAGCTCTAATACAATTATATAACACCATATGGAAACCATGATGTGCTACAGTCAACACCTCCCCACGAAATGGTATAAAATGGAAAGACAAATCCCCCAGTGACATAATTAAAGACAAGCAAGCAACTCCCAAATCAAATTGACAAAAATCCCCATCCATACAAGAGTCAACAACAACAACAATTAACCTACCTATCTTGATCACAGACGTCTATATTTAGAGCAATTTCAATTTCTCTAAGTGCATTACTAATCTAATCCAAAACTATTCCAATCTTATTTCTTCTAATACTGAGTAGATAAACATAGCTGCTCAGTACTACCTGACAAGATATATTGTTTTAAATTTTATTTTCAATATTAGTCATATGGTTTCTGTAGACAAGCTAGCATTAAACTCACTGTATTTACAAATGAGAAATATTGTTTCTTTCACGATGTATACTTTTAATATACAAATCAAATAAAGAAATGATGTTTACCTACTAAAAAAAAATAAAAATAAAATAAACAAGCTAATATATCAACTTGTAAAAGCAAAATTTTTTACAAAAACTGATTTTTACTTTTAATATTATCAAAACAGCATCAATTAAAAGAATATTTCAAAAACAGTATTCAGAACTTGTTATTTGGTTTCATCAATATACCTGTAATCTTTATAATTCTAAATAATAATATTTTTTGAGATTATTTAGACAAATTTGTAATTATATACTTGGATAATATACTTATATATAGTAAAACAAAGAAAAAACACTTGCACTACACTAGTTGAAATCTGATTATTCAACAGTATACCACTCGTTAATCATTTAGCATATAATAAGTAATTCATTAAGTATTTATTAAGCATTTGTTAACAATTTGGCAATTATTATCAAATTGGAATATGCCAAATTATTGCTGAATATTTGATAAATGCTTGACAAATTATTTATTATATGTTAAATGATCGATTAGTAGCATACTACTAAATAATTAGATTTCAACTAATACTATATTTGTACTATCTTACAAATTTTGAGAGAACACTAATTGTATACCAAAATTTCAAAATATAAATTTATTAAATAATATGTCAAGTATGTGAATTATCTGATTTCTAAAAAAAAAGTCTATGGATTCAAAAAAAATTAATACTATTTATAAATAGTCTGCACCAACCAACATATTTAAATTAAGATATTTTCTGAAACTTGTTAACTATTATAAAAGATTAATACAAGAATTTTCTGTTATCACTTCATCACTTATTGTCCTTTTGTACAAAAATACATAATACCAATAGAAATTAACTCAACAAAAATCATATAATGAATTAAAAATATATCTTACTACTACATCTGTTTTTCTTCTATTTGTTTTTTTCAAACTCTTTACAATAATTATTAATGCTTTTGACATTGCAATAAGTGCAATACTTTTTCAGGACCAAGGAAAAGATAAATAATCTGTTATATTTAAATCAAAAAAACTTTTTCCAGCTGAATAAAGCTACTCTATACATTAAAAGAAACTTCTGGCCATTATTCATACTATCAAGTTGTGAAAATCATATTTTAAGAAATAACAATTTATAGTCATTACTAACCATACTTCTCTGAAATTTATTAAAACTTAACAAAACTTATCTTATCAACAAGTCTGCTAGTTGAAAACACTTCAAGAAAATGATTTTGTGATTAAATACAAACCTGGAAAAACAAATGTAATAGCTAATGCACTTTCATAACAATCACACTTGGTCACTATCTCTGTTTTCACCACCTAACTTGAGAAAAATCTAAAAAAAATATATCAGAAAAATGCTTTCTTCAAATCACTCTGGGAAATACTTAAATATCTTAAATTTGTTATTGAAAAGAAACAAGCTTATGTATGAAATTTTAAGATGAAGAACAATAAAATTTATCTGAAAAAGAATTAACAACTAACAATACTAAACAATAAAGAACTGAGAATAAAAATTTTGTATGAACATTATGACAACATTAATACAAGACATTTGGAGATTGACAAAATCTATGAAAATATCACTAGTGTAACATGATTTTCAATGAGTCTGTTGCTTTTAGGAACTAGCACCTGTGTAACATTCAGGTAAGTGGATTTCTTTATTCGAAGCGTGTGATTTGACTTGGCTGGGTTTTCTATTAATTATTGTTTCTTTTGTTCCTTGCCCTTATACTTCTATTGATAATCCTTGCTACCATCTCTTTGCAACCCTTCTGATTATCCTCTTTCCAAGCTAGTAATACTAAATGAGATAAGTTTATTAATTGGAAATTCTCTTCTTTGGTATCATCAATCACACTACTAATTTAGCAATTTTTAATTAGTTGTCTCATTAGAGAGCATGATACTTTTGGGTGTTTGGTTTTTCTTGTTTTATTTTTGGTTCTGTTTTTTCTTTTTTCATGAGTACATTGTTCTTTTATAGTCTAATGCTATGCTATAATAGACTATTGCTGACATCATGGATTTAGACTTTTAAGCTTACTAATAGACTATTGTATAAACTACTTCATTTTCAACATAGCATTTCTGAGTTTTAGACATGCGACACACTGATTATGTTATGCATTCATCTCTCATTATACCTTTCCTATCTACAATTTCTCTCCACTTATCATTGGCATCCTTGACAAAGATTCTACTATTTCTAGAACTTGACAAGTCTTCCATAGTGGTGGCATACCAAACAGTTGGATATCATATGGCGAATTGGTAATACAAATGTCTAAGTTGCTGTTTTCATCATTTATTATAATTGCAGATCCATTCTTGATTTTTTTCATTATGACTGGATTGCTAGCATTTAACCTTATACAGTCTTCTTTTTGTTATTCCTCTCTATGCTGTTAGCAATAGGATCAGGTATAGGGACGGGATCAGCACAGGTCATGTGATGTAGCGTGATGCATCAGTTCATGTATCAATGTGGAGAGGAAAGTTTAGGAAGTCTGTTGAAGTTTTGCATGACACGACATTAGATTGGTGAATGCATCGTAACTAATATAAATAGAAGTAGGATTAGAGTAGTAATAGAGGAAGTCAATTGCAATATAATTGTATAGCCAAACCTGTATTTGTGCAATGATAATTAATAAACTTACCTTATTGAGATACTTGTCACCTAAAGAATCCAGTAATAACTAATATCAAGTTTATTGATAAAGGATTGTGCCAGAGGAACATGTGGGAAGAAGGAAAGTTAAAGAATTGTCATGCCAACAAGTACCTTTGGTATTGCAAGCAACACAACCCCTACGTACCAGCAAACAGCAAGCTTAGTTCCGGAGTGGTGATAGACTTGCCAGTACAGTTAACAGTGCATACAAATTTAGAATTATGCTTTTTACCAGTGATGTCATGAATTCGAGTAATCTTACAAAATTTCATTAGGTGATTTTCTGATTCAATTCCTGGTGAAGTTTACGATTCTTCTATTTCTTCATAACTGTATTGAAATTCCGAGGTAAGTATAGTTGATAAATAAAATTACACTGAGTTATTTCTGATTTTGCCCTGATGGAGGCTATTGCAAGATATTAATACATCCTGTTCCCTTTTTATTTTTGTGACAAGTTGACAATCATACTTCTAACTCTTTATTTACTATTCTGGTGCTTCTTCTTAGCTCTAGGGTAATATTTATTAGTTGTGGATGTCATCAATTTCTCAGCTGGTGGCATAATTGGCAGAGCGGGTCATGGTTCCTTGTGGTCATGTATCACAGCTTCTCCAATGGCATTCAATGTAGGTTGAGTGGTTCGTAGATTAGGTTTCCTAACCATTTGTTTTTTCTTAGCCATATCATTCACAATATTTTGATTTTTGGGATGCATGCCGCATACAAAGCTCACTGTGCTGTCTGGTATAAATTGCATTAATTGTATCTTAAATTTCCACATTGTATAGAGTTTCTTTATTGCAACCACATCGTTATCATAGATTATTGCCATCTCTTTCATATTCATTGCATTTATTGCATATTGCCATATTGTAAAGACACTGTAAAGTTTGATCATGCTTTGACATATATGTGCCTCTTTATTGTAATTAGCACTATTCTTCTACTAATGGTTCTCTGCATGTCTTGTTTGACTTGTTGTTTATTATGATCAATTGAGACATTATGGTTTTGCATTATTATGTTATATTCAGATTCTAGGATGATACTCTTGATTGCATCATCATACCTAATCAGAAGTTCTTGGACTGAATTCTTCATTCAAATCATCTTACAGGTCATCTTTGTTGTGACTGCCATAATTGATCTGGTTGCCCAAATCTTTAGCTATAAGTATAGCTACCATAATAAAATAATTATGTCCATCTTAATCATATTCTTTACATGTTGCCATGATATAGGAGTGTCATAATATTGAATTGCCAGGTTTTTGTATATACATGGTTATTTGGTAATCTTAAATGTTCTCATCATGTTTTTTATTGTTTCTTCCTTTTGCATGGCTCGTCGGATATCTTGATCAATCAGGATATTATCATAGTATTGTATTAACTCAACGTACTCAGATTTTAGGACGATTCTTCTGATTACATTATCAGTTAGTAGCTCTTTTATTAGACTACTTACATGAGCCATCTTCTTGATTATCATTATAGTGCAGAATGCTAATTTTACAAAAACATTGGAGTATGTTTTCATAAGCTTTATTTTAAACTCGTGAAGAAGCACATCCATCAATTGTTGCCACACCATAGAAATATTGCACGATCTGTAGGTCTTATCGTAATTATCAATATTGTTTTGTCTCCGGTTGTTTTTCTTTTGCTTTGGCATACTTTCCACTAAACTGATACATTGTTGGTATTATTCGTACACAACATTACTTCTGCAAATCTTAATCCTTGAACAATTTCTATAGGGGCATTCTATTGATCTTCTGAGAACTCCCTTGCTAATTCTTTTTTTGTTTCCTGATTATTCTCAATTTTATTGGTTCTGTCTTGATTTTTCTGGGTTGTTGCTGTTATTGATAACTCCTTATTCATTATTAAAACATCTGGTTCTTTTACTAATGTTATCTCGATTTGCTCATTCTGTCGATTCCTAATTCTGCTGTCCATCTCAACTTTCTCAGTTTCTACTTTTACCATCTCTCACTGAATGTTATCATGTGAAATGATTGGTTCTTGATCTGAATACATATTGAGATCTGACATGATGGAATATGGTTCAATGCTGGAATTGGGTTCACAGGGCATACTTTTGGAAAGGGCAACTGTATTTTTCTCAGTGTTATTGACTATTTTTTGATCATCCCTAGTCATTATTAGCGTTTCTTCTGATTGGAAGGATTGTGTGATAGTATTCGAGATCTTTGGTTGCACTTTATCATTGAAACCGGAACCTTTACACATTACCCTCATCACTTCTTTCTTTTATTCCCAACAGGATACTATTTATTTCTCTCTTTTATTCATTCTCTCTTCTCTATGCTGCTTTCTAATTTACAGAATATTGCTTTTATTTCTATCATAGGGCCTTTCATTACTAATTTCATCAATGAGTATTTCATTGATCTCATTATTATTCGAAACCTGAATCTTTACTTGACTTTCATACTGATTTTCCATTTACTAATACAAATATTTATTTCTTTAGGCAAAGGCATGTTATCATCATTGCATTCAGATCCTCGGGCTTGAGTATTCATCTTGGTTCTTAGATAACCCTTCTTTATCATTTTGGACTCTAGCACAACCTTTTTATTTTTGCTCTTACTTTTCTGAAACAATCTGTGGCATCTAATTTGACGACTCTCTCTTCCACTTTTGTTATCACTTTCAGCATTGCTGGTTCGTGCTTCAAGTATCTTAATGATAAAACTTTCTATTAGTTTTTGTATCTGATTTCACGCATGGTCTTCTAACTCTTTTCTTTTCTTTACTTCTTTTTCAGCTCTGATTGTCACTTCAAGTGCCTCTCTCAAAGCAATTGCATTTCTAATAGCAGATACAGCTAATATGTCTTTCCTGAGTTTAAGTGCAATTACTCATTCAGCTGTTTTCTTATGGTAATTCTTCCTAGAATAGATCTTTTTAAGCTGCTTCTGGAACCTTCAAATGTACTTGAGTACTTTTTTGCCTTCTTCTTGCTTTATATCTTCCAACTCTCTTTTCCATTGGCACCGTCATTTGAAATATCATACGAACATTGGCACAAAACTTTCTTCAAAATCGTATTCATCATCTCAATGTATAAATCGATCCCAACAGTTCTCATATTATTCTAATACATTTTTTTCTAAATATCTAATTACTTTTTTCAACTTTTCTTCATTTGACCAGTTATATCAATCAATGGCTTAATTGTAGGATTCAATCCACAACCGTGGGTTCTCTCCTTCATTCTTGAACACAGGTATTCTAACACTGCAGACTTCTTTTTCTTCTTTTCTCTAACCATTATGATGCAGAGAAGTACAGAGAGTTTTCTTATCCATGATCTCTATGATTTCCAACATTATTGCTGTGAATTAATAATCAAGACAGATCTTGTATAAATCACGGGTTTTTCCAAAGAAGGTAGAATTTGTTTTTAGCGAACAATATGTTTTTGTTTATTTTCGAGGATGATAAATTAATTAAGGTTTTTGGTTTTCTAGGGGATAAACTTTTTAATGAATGTTATAAGTTGGCATGAGCACAATTTTATGGGGGTAATGAGGCGTTATATCTCACAGTCATCACCAAATTGTAAATGTAGTTTTTAACAAGTTTGTTGTTTCTCGGAACCAGCACTCATGTAATGTTCAGGTAAGTAGATTTCTTTATTTGAGGCATGTGATTTGACTTGGCTGGGTTTTCTATTAACTATTGTTCCTCTTGTTTCTTGTCCTTATACTTCTACTGATAATTTTTACCACCATTCTTTCGTGGCTCTTCAGATTATCTTCTTTTCAATCTAGCAGTACTAAATGAGGTAAGTTTATTAATTGGAAATTCACTTCTTTGGCATCATCGATTGCATTACTAATTTATCTATTTTTAATTAGTTGTTTTACTAGGGAGCATAATACTTTTTGGTGTTTGGTTTTTCTTGTTTTATTTTTGGTTCTGTTTTTTCTTTTTTCATAAGTATATTGTTCTTTTATAGCCTAATGCTATGCTAGAATAGATTATCGCTGACTTCATAAATTTAGACTTTTAAGCTTACTAATAGACTATCATATAAACTACTTTATTTTCAACATAGCATTTCTGAGTTTTAGACATGTAACACATGGATCGTATTATATGTCTATTCCTTATTATACCTTTTCTATTCACAATAGATATTTTTATTGATCTAGAATAATTAAGAATATCAAATATACATCAATGGCTATAATATCTGCTAAAGAAATAAGCTATCAAATCAAAATTCTATTAGACTTTTACAACTTTTGAAATTATTAACAAAGTGCTAGAAGTGCATTTCTATAGATTTCATAATCCAACTGTTACTAACATGTCAAGAAAAAATACTATTGTAATATTTATTAACTATTTTACCAAATGAGTTGTCTTTTAACCAATCCATATAACAGTAACCATTCCTAAAATTACAAAAATATTTTTCAACACTATAATTAGAAATTATGGATTGCTAAAAGTAATTGTGTTTAATTATAATGCCAAATTTATTAATCACTTCTGAAGAAGTTTCTTTGAACAATTGAAAACCAAGCTATTGGTGTTAATTGGTTTCCATTTTCAAACTGATAAACAAACTGAGCATCTCAACAGAACTTTGAAAGAAATATTAAGAATCTATACTATTTATAATCAAAATACTGGAAATAAGTATTTGCCTGTCATCAAATTTGTCTACTATAACTTCAAACAAGCTTTAATAGAATTTATACTATTTGAATTAGATTAAAAACAATATTCAAATATACCAATTACTATTGCACAAGAAATATTTGACACAATACTTGCTGCTGTTGACTTTATCAACTATTAAAACAATATAATCAAAATCTCTCAGGACATATTTTTGGAAGCATAAAATTGACAAGTGAAATATATCAATTAATATATATATTTTTTTTACAAGACACTTCTCAAATTGTGATTTTTATTAATTGTTTGATTTAATTTTTACAAAGATGACTGAGTATAAAATTTACAACAATAGTGATACATTGAGATATGTTGCTATAAATATCGACCTGCTAATAAGTAAATATATTCTAAAAAAACTGTAATTGGAAAAATTTTATAAGTAACTATTTACTAAATTAAGGGGTCAACACCTCCTTAATAATTTAATTTTTTATCCAGATCTGATGAAAATAAGTTTTTGGTTAGTGAGATACAAATATTTGGAAATTGAATGTTAGAGTAGATTATATGGTTGTTGTTGGTACAGTTTACTGGTATTGTGTTAATAGTTGAGTTTTTTTTGCTGAGTTGAGTTTGGTTGTTTTTGTTTTTGATGTTGTTTTTGTTCCTTTTTTGTTGAGATGTAATACCAAGAATTTTTTCCTAAGAGATCATGTTATCATTTCTGGATTTTCATATATTGTTGTATATTAGTTTAAGAAGTTTGTTAGAAATTTGTATATATTTAAAAATTGGAATGGGTTTTTGATTTGGAATTAAAACAGAGAAGGAGATTAAACCAGTAGCAATTTGTATTATATTTTGAATATTGTTAAAACATTGTAGATTGTGTTTGGGAAAGTTTTTTTTTTTTTTTGCAAGGCACTTTTCAAATTGTGATCTTTATTAATTGTTGATTCAATTTTTACAGAGGAAAACTTAGTATAAAATTTACAACAATAGTGA